TTCTGATTATATAATAAACTCCTTGAAGCCAAGGTTCCTGTGAGATACCACTCTGTGTCTCCACAGGATTCAACACAGGGTAAATGTTGAGTAAATGGTGCTTAATTAATACTGGCTGATAGGCTAAACTCAGGAAATAAATTGCTATGAAAAACAGTTTAACTCTCCATGCAGTCATGCCATACAGCTCAATCATTTGAAAATCAGTTTCCCGAATCCACCCTTGTGGAGATTTGTCACAGAATGTTTGAGCCTGAGAGGGACTTGGAGCTTTGCTAATGTCCTCATTTTGCAGATGGAAATGAGGCCTGGAGGAGTTCCTTGTTAATGACAGCATTGTTGCCTCTGATGCCTACAACTGGACTCTCTCTCCAGCCATGATGTTTCCCAAAAGGGATAAAGCCACCTCCTATTCCCTGTCCTTTACTCCTGGTTTAAGATTATATGGTTTCAGTTGCAGGAAAGGGAAAGAGTTGTCAAGCTGGCTCTACCAGGAGGCTGAACAGAAGAGGAGACTACAAAACAAGCTCATTTCATAATCAATATTTACCCAGGACTGGTCTGTGTCTAGTCTGGCTAAGAGAAGCTCCCTGACCTTTAGGAACGTCCCATCTCTTTTGGTAAAGAAGGTGTATATATGTTAATAGCTACAGGGAGGTCCTACTGTGTAAGATTAAAGTATAAATGAGTGGTTGGGTAGAGCCGTCAGGGCTAGAGAAGGGATGGGATATTCTGGAGGCCATGGATCTTGGGTATAAGGGCTGAGGGCTGAGAAAAGGGCAGAACACCTAGGTTAGAATAGTATGGACCTGGTTTGTGCTTCACCCTGCTGGTATTAAGGGCCTTGGGAAGTTTCTGTAGGAGGTGGGATGGGATCCAGTGTTGACTAGATTTAGGAAGACCAATATGGTAGCAACAGTGTGGGGAACGGCTGGAAGCAGGAACTTTAAGGAGGTCCTTAAGGAGATGAAAGCTTGGAGCAGGCGATGGCAGTGAGAAGAGAAAGAAGAAGCAAATGTAAGAATTTCAATTTTTAAGCAACCCCTCACCCCCAAAAAACCAACGCTACCTGCTGGGTGCTATTCTAAATACCATAACAAATCTGAATTCATGTGAGTATCCTGAATTAGACATGATTGTTATTTCTGTTTTACAGATGAGGAAACTGAGGCACAGTTAGGTCAAGTAACATGCCCAAGGACACATGCTAATAAATGGTAGAAGCAAGATTCATATCCAGGCAGGGGAGCTCCCAGGTCTCAGTTCTTAACAACCACTGTGTGCTACAGTGGAATGTTTAGAAGTAAAAGTCATGATGAATCCAAAGTTTTTCAAGCCTGAATGACTTAGCAAATGTTAATGCCATTGATGAATTACATGCATCAAATAGGAGTATTATTAGCCTGTGGGAAAGAAGATACCTTTGGTTTTTTTATACATTTTGTTTAAGGTGACAAGGATGCATCTGAGTAGAACGTTCCATGGTAAATTACAACAGGACAAGCTTGGGAAAGATATGGCTGCCAGTTTTTTTTTTTCTTTCAGCCCTTGAAAATGTTGTACCATTTCCTTCTGTCCTCCATGATTTCAGATGCGAAATCTGTTCTTATTTAAATTGGTGTTTGCCTATAATTAAGGCATGCATCATTTCTCTCTGATTGCTCTTAAGATTTTTTTTGTTAGTTTCCAGAAGTTTAATTATGCTGTTTTGATGAGCATTTCTTTAGATTTATCTTAGTTCAAGTTCACATAGCCCTTGAATCTGTAGTTTTCATCTTTTGCCAAATGGAAGTTTTCAGCCATTATTTCTTTGAATATTTGTTTAGCCCCACAATCTTGCTCATCTCCTTCTGGGATTCCGATGATAGCCATGTCGATATCTTTTATTACTGTTTCACAGATTCCTTTTCTTCCCCCAGTCTCTTTCCTCTATGTTTGTCAGATTGAGTACATTTGATTGATCTGTTCTCAGTTCAGTGATCCCATCTTTTGTTATCTCCACTCTACCACTGAACCCATCCAGTGAGGGTTTTTTTGTTTGTTTTTTTGTGGTTGTGCTTTCAGTTCTGTCATTTCCACCTGGTTCTTTTTTATAACTTCTATTTCTTTGATGAGGTTTTATAGTTTTTTCATATGGTTCAAGGGATTTCATAATTATTGGTTGAAACCATTTTAAAATGCGTGGCTCAGTCAGCTAAGCGTCTGACTTCAGCCCAGGCCATGATCTTGCAGTCTGTGGGTTCCAGGCCCGTGTAGGGATCTGTGCTGACAGCTCAGAGCCTGGAGCCTGCTTCAGATTCTATATCTCCCTCTCTCTCTACCCCTCCCCAGCTCATGCTCTGTCTCTCAAAAAAAATAAAATCTCTGCCAGATAGTTTCAACATCTGATTCACCTCACTGTTGGTGTCAGTTGACTATCTTGTCTCACTCATATTGTGATTTTCCTGGTTCTTGGTAAGACAAGTGATTTTTTACTGTGTTCTGAACTTTTCCATATTACGTTAGGAGACCCTTAATCTTTCTTTTTTTTTTTTTTATTTTAGTGTTTATTTATTTTTGAAGGAGAGAGAGACAGAGGTGAGTGGGTGAGGGGCAGAGAGAGAGGGGGACACAGAATCCAAAGCAGACTCCAGGGTCTGCACTGTCAGCACAGAGCCCAATGCAGGGTTTGAACTCACAAGCCATGAGGTTATGACCTGAACTGAAGTTGGACACTTAACTGACTGAGCCATCCAGGCATCCTAGGAGACTCTTAATCTTATATAAATCTTCTATTTTAGTAGGCAGCCACCCTGTTTTTGTTTTTAAGGTTTACTTTTGTAGTCTATAGTTTCAATGACAACTTTCTGAGCCCTTGCAATGCTGTTCTGGTCTACTATGTTCTGGCTTTGTTTAAGCTCCCACCAGATCCCTGCATGTGATGCCTACATAGGTATCCTTGGGCAGATGTAGGGGGTGCCCTAAGTCACCCCCTAAGTCTGTCATTGCATGGAGGGCTGGGAGACACTGGGCCTGAAGCCACTACTAGTGCAGCTGCATGTATCTATATCATCATTTTTTATTCTAGAATTTTATGATTTTTATCTTTTTACCTTAAAAAAATTTGGGGGGGACACCTGGGTGGTTCAGTCAGTGAAGTGTCCAACATCAGCTCAGGTCATGATCTCGTGGCTTGCAAATTTGAGCCCCGAGTCAGGCTCTGTGATGGCAGCTCAGCACAGCGAGATTCTGTGTCTTGCTGTCTCTCTCTCTCTCTGCCCCTCCCCAGCTCACACCCTCTTTCCCTCTCTCTCAGGGGCAGAGAAAGAGAGAGAGAGAGAGAGAGAGAGAGAGAGAGAGAGAATCCAAAGCAGGCTCCACACTGCCAGAGTAGAGCCCCATACAGGGCTCAAACCCATGAATCGTGCAATCATGACCTGAGCTAAAATCAAGAGTTGGAAGCTTAACCAACTGAGCCACTCAGGTGCCCCTTACTTTAAAATTTTAATCCACCTAAAATTCATTCGGATATCAAGAATGAGGCGAAGAATTTAGCCTTTTTTTTATTCTCCTCCCCCAGTTGGGGAGCCAATTATTCTAAAACCATTTGCTAAGGGGCACCTGGTGGCTCAGTCAGTTTAGCATCCAACTTCGGCTCAGGTCATGATCTCGCGGCTCATGAGTTCAAGCCCTGCATCGGCTCCCCACTGACAGTGCAGAGCCTGCTTGGGCTTCTCTCTCAGCCTCTCCCCGACTTGCATGCTGTCTTTCTCAAAATAATAAATAAACTAAAAAAAAAAAATTAAAACCATTTGCTAAAAACTCCACCTTCCCTTGCAAATTTGAAATGTTACCTTCATCAAATACTCCATTTACACGTACATTTAGGTCTATGGGCTGAATGCTTTTTCTTTGATTTGTCTACTTTGGTTTTGTTGCTGCTTTAGTTACTGTAAAAACATCTCCATATTTGACAAGGCTAGTCCCTTCTCTTTAATTTGCTGGCTATTCACATCTGTTTGCTTTTTAAAAGGGTTTGCAACACACCTGCAGGGTAAAGAGAGGCAAAGGATAGGGCACCTGGGTGGCTCAGTTGGTTAAGCAACCAGCTCTTGATATTTATTAAGGTCATGATCTCACTGTTCATGGGATCGAGCCCCGAATTGGGCTCTGCGCTGTGTGAGGAGCCTGCTTGGGATTCTCTTTGGGCCCCTTCCCTGCTCATTCTCGCTCTCTCAATAAATAAACATTAAAAAAAAAAAACTTAAAAACTAAATAGAGGCAAAGGAAGATGTGGGTTGACCTGATGGAAGCTTCCTGCAGTATTCCCGGAGAGAGACGGGGGATACAGAAGGTAGAATAGATTCGCTCTCCCCTTATATCCCAAATTTCAGTCATTTCCTGGTATACCACCTTTATAATTTTTGACATATCTGTATATTGTCGACAGCATTAACTTTTTCACTAATTCACTTTAAAATTTTAAATATATTAGGCTTGTCCTACATGCTGTCTGTAAAAGCACAGATTCAACGCAGTAGTTATATATTTTTCTAACACATTAAACAAAGTAGATAACCATGAAGATAAACATTGTTCGTCCATGAGGCACCTACAGTTATTTTGTATACTACCAGCAGCTCTGGAAACGAGTAGTTTGAGCAAACCATCCCCATCTGTTCTCCAGATGAAAATTCTCTCTCAGCAAGGAGCCACCTGGGCTGGCTGGTGATCTCCATATTGTCTTGTGCTAATTGCTGGTAATAAGATCTACGGCATGTGTTCTCACGTAGGTCACGTAAAGAAATGACTAGTGAAGTAACAGTCATACACATGCAAGACACTGGTAGCAGTTTCTCTTCTTTGGAGTTCTGATGTTCGGGCGAGCAAATCCTCCCTCGCAGAGACCTCTGAAAAGGGCCACAGATGATATCATAGGCCAGTGAGAATGTTCACGGGATGATAAGACGGTGAAGTGATCAGGAGGGCAGAGACAGACAATAATGCCAAAGGCCAGAGCCTTAACACCCTTATCTCTTAGTCTTTATTAAAGGTAAACAGGGATAAATGGAAAATGCCATCCCGACGTTGTGAAGATCAAATTAGAGAGCGAGACTGCAGGGAATCAAATATCTTGTACTGACCTGTCACAAGCACTTACTCAGATACAAGCAAACACACACCACACTCTTTTCTTCCTTTTTTTTTTTTTTTTTTTTCCTCCACCGTGAGTTGTGTTTGCCTTCCAGGTTTTTAAATGCTCTGGTTTCAGGATCTACCTCTTTTTACTGAGCACCCTCAGCACTGATAATAATAAAGGTTACAAAATTACCAATACTAAAATCTCGGTGCCAAACAGAAGCGGCTGCTTCCGGCATGGAGATTGGAATAGCTTCCATCTTCTGTGTTATAAAAACAGTATAAAATAATCCAGTTTCCTTCTGTTGGTGGCCATGGAAACTAATCTCCAATATTCCTTTCAGTGAATGAATAATTCTGAAATCTACAGCATTCTTCAGCTGCGTCTATTAATTTGCTCCACCTTAAAAAACAATAAAACTACGGACCTTAAAATTCAACCTGCACATTTTCAATTGTAAGGCCCACTGGTTTACGAGTAATTTGGGGGTGTTGCATAGGAGAAGCTCCTGGGGAGAGACTCACATGATTGCTTGTCAGAGGAAAATGCCGAGTCTTGTTTCCTTCAGTATCTCTCAGAGACCTCCCCATTTCCTAGTTCCTATCATTTAGGTCTCTTCCAAGGGGCTTCTGCACTGCAGTGTGAAACACTGTTTCTTACCTCTGCTCTTCCCGGCACTGGAAGCCTTGGTATGTAATCCCTGACCTTTCAAGCAAAATCCCCACTCTTGCTCGGAGAGTCCCCAAGAGACCTGCCTGAGAGGGCTCACTCACTCTTCATGCGTGCCTCGAGGCCTATCCGTTTGCAAACTCCGCTTTCTGGCAAGCTTATGGAGCCTTAGGCCAATGAAATTTCACCTCGAGTTTCTCAAAATCTAACTGCACAGTGTTGCCAGCCTCATCTTGTTGTTCCCCCAAACGATAGCCCTCTTTCTGCCAATGTAATTTATTTGAAGGGTTGTCGAGGCAGGGATTAGCACGAGGCCTCCAGTTACAGCTTCCAAGAGCTCGGTGCCAGGTGACGTCATTCTACCACCCGAGTCTCAAAGGGGGGTTTCAGGACACGGCCGGCCGTGGAGCAGGGCCTCTGCCAGCGCAAGGCGGCGCCGGCTATTTAAAGCCACTCCCTGGCGGAGCAAGGACGGGACAGGGGTGAGGGGCCAACTGTTCAGAGGGTGACAGAGGGTACAGGCAGAAGGCAAAAATGACAGGGAGGGGTCCACTTGGGCAAAGGATTCCTTACTCTCTTCCACCACAAACTGCCAAGGCCGCGTCCCGTCAGCCTCGCGGCGCGTCCTTCGGTAGGTGGCGCACATTTGTTTTCTTCACACCTTCCACGCTGGCAATCTGGTGGAGACCGAGAGCCCCGCCCCCCCTTCTTTGACTTTGCAAATCTTAGCTCTGATTTTAGATGATCCAAATGTTCCTTCCACACCCTGTTAGAATTCTGGCTTTGGAGAGGCAAGGGTATGAGGAAGATGTGATGCACTTTTGGGAACAGTATTTAAATCTTTATGTTATTTTGGGAAATACATGCGCAGTCACATGGTCTCAGTTCTACAACTTGGTATAATTCTTATACTTGCTTTGGCGCAGAGCTTTAAATCCTTTAAAAAACTCATGTAACAAAGAAAGCCTGTTCCCTTAGGTTGGGTTCTCCCAGAAGTAGACTCTGAGTCAAGGATCCAGGTACAAGAGATATATTAAGGAAAGGCCCCTGGGAGACACCAGTAGATGAATGGGAGGACAGGGAAACGGCAGGTACTGAGCGAGGGAGTGATTTCGTGTGAAGTCCCAGTCTTGGCCTGATCCAGAGGGGAGCTCTGGAGAGTAATTTATGCCTCAGAGCATGTCCTTCCTTCCTTGGGGCAAGGAAGATGTGCTTCTGGGCTCCACAATCAGTCAGTCACTGGCCTTAAGTCAAAGGGAGTGGTAGGGTGGGGTGGGAGATGGTGTGGACACAGGGGCCAGACACACAGGGGGCTGGACACACAGAGCCGGCAAGAGGGGCTGGAGGGGAAGTGGGTGTGCTCTAACAGCGTTGGCCACCAGACCACCCTCCACACTGCCTGCTCTTACCACCAGGCACTACTTAGAGGTCTTTCATCACATTCTGCTGCAAGAGGAAATGAATGATATCTTTTGAAAGTCCTGGGGTTGGCTTTTCATCATCCAGAGACACACTTCCTTCTCCCGATGGGTAGAAGTGGACATCCCTGGAATGCCTCTGTAAGACCGAGCAGCCATCCCGGTTGAAGATGACCCGGGCCATTTGGAAACTGCGGAGGGCATACTTTCGGCTCTCCTGGCCCTTCAGTTCGTTGATTTTCTGAGACAGGCACTGGCAGACTGCTGCGGAGAGTGCATTTCCAGAGGCCGGCTGTGGACAGCCAAACACTTCATAGAATCTATCCAGGGATTTCCGAAGCCCATCATCCTCTGCCTTGGTCTTCACCTGGCCCTTCACAGAAGGGTCCAGCCAGAAGTTCTCAGAGGTCCAGGAATCATTTTGTTCAGAATTTAGGTTACTGGTATCTGCAAGACAAAACACATTCCAGTACTTGAACACACATTCAAAAAGGCCAGAAGCAGATGATGTCTCTTCAAGTCACCTGCTGCTCCTGGGTGACTGACACTGGGCAGGACTGGCCGATTTTGGAATTGATCCCCACCATCCTGTGGGTTATGCCACTTGTTTGCTCCAAACAAGAACATCTTATGTGCATGTTTCAGGAGTTCTTATCTATGGTCTTTGTACAGAAGTTCAGGGTAGTTGTGAATTTGGGTAGGGAGAAAACTTGTATCTTTATTTTCACTAACCTCAATCAGAAATTAAGCATTCCCTTCCATAATAAATGTAAGCAACAAACCTACTAGCAGCAGTACGTATGACAGCTATTTTCATACCACATTACAGTCTGCAGAAGATGTTTCAAAATATCATTTATGCCATCACTATGCTCTGGACTGAAGTGTGGCCTCCAAAATTCACAGTTGAAGCCCTAGTCCCTAACGTGACTGGATCTGGAGATGGGGCATTTAGGAGGTTACTAAGGTTAAATGAGGTCATAAGGGGTGGGTGCCTAATCTGATAGGAGTGGTGGCCTTATAAAAAGAGGGAGAGATCTCTCTCGCTTTTTCTCTCTCTCTTGTCTGTCCAGGTGCAAGACTGGGGAAAGGCAATGAGAGGACACAATGAGAAGGTGGCCTTCTCTAAGCCAGGAAGCCCTTCCCAGACCTCAACCATGCTGGCACCATGATCTCAGATTTCCAGTCTCTGGAACTCTGAGAAAATAAATTTCTGTTGTTTAGGCCACCCGGTCTATGGTATTTTGTTATGGTGGCCCAAGTAGACTAAGACACAGTTATTGGTCCTGATACTAGAACTTATTATTTAAACATTAATTTAAAAATATTCATTATAATATTGTAAATTTGTTCTTTAACTAACTTAATAACTACATTTCAATATTTTTCCCTTGATCATCCCATACATTTCAATTTTTTCACTTAAAACATTATTTAAGAAAGGGTGGGAAGGCTTCACCAGATGCCAAAAGGATCCATGGCACAGATACAGTAAAGACCCCTACTGTAGACAGTGCTGGGCATTTACACAGTTCAGACATTTTCTTTTTCTACTCCTTACAGTAATCCTATGGACTCTTTATCTCTCAATTAAAATCACCACCTTTCTGTTTTTTAAAGGAGTAACAAATAAACTAAGTGATTTAATAATAGACAATAAGAAGCCAGAAATGGAGCCAAATCCTAGTCCTTGATCTAACTTTCTGTACCTCTTTGGGAACCTTAATTCTTTTTTTTTTTATGTTTATTTATTTTTGAGAGCGAGAGAGAGCGTGTACATGCACATGTGTGCAAGCATGAGCGGGGGAGGAGCAGAGAGAGAGAGAGAGACAGAGAATCCCAAGCTGACAATGTGTTCTAGAAAAGATTCCCCACAAATAATTTACAGAATTCCTTATACACCAACCAGTTTTAATTTTTAAAATTGTATACATTAAATCAAAATATATTTTCCTTTTTTGCTCTGATATAAGCTTTAATAAATTACTAGCTTTAATTCCACACATACACCCCTCACCCCATTAACTCAACTAGTAGCTATGATAAAAATATTTACACTCACTAACGATTAAAAAATTGTGTGATGCAGTGGATGGTTAAAGAAAAAGAGAAGAGATTTACGGTTTTGACTCCAGTTTTGCTACCAGCTAGACATCATACCACCTTGCTGAGCTTTGGAGTTCTCATCTACAAGAGTTTTAGTAAATGATCTCTCTTCTAGAACTTCTATGGTAAGACAAGGAACAGAGGAGTAGTTAATCCAAAGCACCCAAGAAGGATGTGGACACATGGTGTGAGACACACGCAGCCCACACATGGACGAGCATTCACTGGTCCACCACACAAGTAGCCCAAAAACAAAGCACTCAGCCACCTTGAAGAATGGCGATTCCAGGCTGATTAAGGACAGTACAAGATGGGCCTGGTGCATCTTACTATCTAGAATGCTCAAATATTGATGGAGGCTTGTCAAGGGGGAGCAGAGGCCAGCTCCAAAGGGATCACCTGGCCACATCTGGAACAACTTAAGCATCAAAATAAATTATGAGAGTACCTGTAACTGATGGTAGCCCAGTTATTCAAATATAAAACCATAAATCCATAAAATAATTGCAAGTTTGCTGAGGAACAGTCTCAGAGCACTTCCCCATAAAATACTTACTAGTTACAAATGGGAAAAAAATAATTTCAGAGTGGAGAATCATGGCACATATCACCTTAATCAAGTGACCTAAGTGAGTATCACCAGTAATGGGACAAATCGAAACCCTGTTGCCACCTGACCAGATGCAGGAGGAAGACCCAATACCACTTCTCTGATAGTCCTGCTGAAGGTGCAGCCCCTGAACCCAATTATGAGGGAGCGACAGATAAAACCAAACCGACAGATGTTCTACAAACTGACTGGCCTGTACTCTTCAGAAGTGCCATGGTCATGAAAACCCAGAAAAGACGGAGCAAAAGACGGTACACTGAAGAGTACCAAAGAGTCATGACAACTAAAAGCAACACATGATTTTCAACTAGATCTTTTTGCTATAAAGAACGTTACTGGGATTGCCTGAGTGGGGCCTGAGGATTAGATGGTAATAATGTACCCTGTGAACTTCCTCATTTTGATAGTTTCATTCGGTTATGTAGGAGAATGTCCTTGTTTATTGGAAAATCAGGGGTGGTGGGCATCGGGCTGGCAACTTACTCTCAAATAATTCCAGAAAATAAAAAACTCTTTGTATTATACTTGCAAATTTTCTATGAGTTTGAGATTCTTTCAAGAAAAAATAATTAAATAATTACAGAATTATTTAATTAAGTCATTAAATTCCTCCTCTGGAAGAATAACTGTTAAAATTTCCTTTGGTGGCCTACTTTAATACTAACACAAACAAACAAAAGCCTTAGCCCAGGGCTTGGTGAACAGTACTTGCCTAATAAACAGTACTATTGGAGAGCCAAGGGGAGAAGGGGGTGGGCAAGGGGTCCCACAATGGCTAGATGAGGTGTCCCTTCCCACTTGCTTCCACAAAGATGATCTGGTCCTGGGAAAGTAAGGCAGGAAGACAGGGGCTGAGAAAGGTCAATGGGAAGAGTGAAAGAGAGAGGGAAGGTCCTCAGCAGTAACACTGAAAAGGCTGTAGAGTTCCTGAAACTGCCCACCGAGGTAGCCATTTATACAGAACCCTCCAAGTAGCATAGCAGGTACTTATTAAGGAACTGGTCAATAACTTTGATTTGAGCCTAAAGAGCCTAAAAAACTAGTGTGGCTCCTCTGTTTTTCATGTAAATATCAAGCAGATTGCAACTCATCTTAAAGAAACCCTCCTTCCCTTTTCCAGAAAAGCAATGACGACATGGGTTGAGTTATTTACCATATCAGTTCTTTTGAACACTGTCTCCAGCTCATTTCAGTCTTTGATTTCCTTTTAAAATCTGCTTTACCAACAACAAAGCCATCTCTCTAATCATGTGGCTGTCGTGGCCTTTCTGATACCTGGGTTTTCTTTTCCAGCAAATAGAGCTAATCGTTTTTCTTTTCCTCATGAACCTACATGTGTACAGAATGATGATCTTTGATAACTCAGTTCCTGCTCAGTGGTGCATCCTCACAGTTATGTTCAAACTTCAATCTTACATTAATAGTTCAAACTTACATTAAAGTTCAAACTTTAATCTTACATTAATATAGGCCAGACTTGTAAGGCTCTCAACTTGGGATGGTAATATCTACTCTAGGGACAGTCTGGGGATGTTTTTGTGTTAGTGATTGGAAAATGGTTGTACTTAATGAGTGGGATCAAGGATGGAAACATCCTGTAATGCACAGAACAATCCCATACAACAAAGAGTCATCCTCCCCAAAATCACAATTATGCCTCCTATCCCTTGAGAGGAACAGTGGCTCAAAGGATGGATTCTGGAAAGAGTGGGAAGTGAATGGTGAATCCCACTGCATTGTAATATATTGAATTGCGTTGGGCTTCCCAAGGCACCTTTGCTATTGATCCCTGCACAATCAATGCCTTTCTTGCTGGCATCCGTTTGTACCATGCATTCCTCCCTTCTCAGACCTCGAGATGGCATTTTATTTTTCTTAGCAAGGGCCCCAGTCCCAATCATTTTGGCATTGTCTAAATTGAGTGGAATTTCCCTTTTTGTTCCCTTTTTGTTCCAATTTCTTTAGGAATTGACAAGAAGAAAGGGAGGAAGGTGGCACTTGGTATGGCCATACTTTTGCATGCATTTTCAAGGTCACCTATCTACCAGAGCATCCATCTGTTAAATTCTCTTTTGATGAGAGAGAAAACAGGTAACATAGCTGTTTAAGATTCTTACAAATCTAAAGCCATTTTTATATGTTTAGGAGTCATAGATGGCAATTCTAGGCAATCAATTTGCATGAGGATTTGAGATGAATGGTTGCATTCTGTGAGATGCCATCAGCTTTTAGAAACCCAGATGTTTAATGGGGGTTTCTTCCAGAGAATCTTCCACGACTACTTCTGTGGTTGATAAATGCGCAGCAGGATTTTATCTCTGTGAAACATTTAGCTTTCAACTTTAACAAGTTTTTTCCTAAATGGATTTGATATTTTGAATTCTGTCTCCCTCATGCATCAGCCTCAATAGCCGCCCACTCTGCCTTATTTGTTCAGACTCTCTTTTACTAGTGACTACTAATTGGGAGGATCTGTGGTTTCAAGGCTGCACAGAGCCAAAAGAAATCGAAGACTTTATATTAAAAAAAAAAAAGAGAATTATCAGGATTTAAGGAAAGAAGGAACATGTGGCTCATATGGTCTCCTTTCATGTTGCCCAAAGGGAAAGCAGCCCTTTTTCAGGGCAGTGCACAGTCTGCTAAGAGTGGTCCTTCTGCCTTGGTTTGTCTGTTGGAGGTTCCTTGGAGTCTGTGTGGCTCTAAGAAAGTCAGGGGTGTAAGAACAAGGTGA